GAGGGCAAGAATAGTATGGGAAATAGAGAATCTAAAGAACTTGTGACACATGGACATAAACTAAAGGGGTGGGGAATGGTGGGGGAGGGGTGTGCAGGGTGGAGGGGGATGAAGGGAGAAATGGGATAACTGTAATGGCATAATCAATAAAGTATATTAAAAAGAAAAAAGAAAATAGATTAGTGATATCTTAAGGCTTGGGGGGCATAAGAAGATTGAAGGTGAAGGCTAAAGGGAATGTAATTTCTGAGTTTTGAAAATATTTTAAAATTGATTGTGGTGATGCGTGCACAACATTATGAATATACTAGAAGTCATTGAATTGAACACTTTCAATGGGTGAATTGTATGGTATGTGAATTGTATGTCAATAAAATGTTTTTTAAAAGAAAGTTTATAAGACCTTTATTTATAGTTGCCAAAATTGGAAGCAACCACAATGTCTAAGGTGAATAAATAAAGCAATTGTGGTAACTTCAAATAATAGAATATCTTCAACACTTGTGGGAGTGACTTTCTCGCAAGTCCCCCCGAGTGCCACGGACACAAGTGAATATGGCCGTAGACATGCTGTGATCTGCTTGGGGAGGAGAAGTGGGCAGTGGCCAGTTTCTCAGGGGATACAAAGGCCATCTGCAGCCAGTTTCTCCAAGGAGAAAAAGTCCCTGAGCCCCCTGCTCCATAGCCTTTTATTGGGTTGTAATACACAGGAATACAGGGCAGCAAGGATCAAACAGTAGATAACATTTCAAAGAAATTTGAGGGCTTACTATGAGTTCGAGTCTGTCAGGAACAGAGTTTTAGGGTTTCCTGCTCAAACCCTTAACACATGAATGAAAGCACTCTTAGCAAAGCAGATTTTGCAGGTTTATCAGCGAGTCTTTGTGATGCCAGATTGTTCCCCAGGACACTCTCTAGCAAGGCAAGAAGCCCCATCTCTCCCCAACAGGTATTCAGGCTCAAGGGGATTAGTGCCAGGAAGTGCTTCTCCCAGAGGACGTGGGGACTCGGGCTTTGTCAGAATAGCTGGGGGGCGAGAGTCCATTGCTCCTTGTTGCAGCCCTCCGAGTCCTTCCATGGAGGCCTCCCAAGTGATCGAGTCTGGCTTAGGTTGCCCCCAGCTGTGAGGGGTCTTGCCTGTCATTGACTTCCAACCAAGCTTTGGGGGTAGGAAGAGGAAACTGAGGCAGATTTGCTACCAGAGACAAGCTTTGTCTCCTGTGGCTCATATTCCAGAGGTAGTTGGCTCATTCATCCTCAAGCCAAAAAGGGCAGAGAGCTACAATTCCTGAAACCAGGCAGAACGGTCTACAACAGGGTCAAAACAAAACAAAATAAAACAAAACAAAGAAATATTAACATAAAAAAAGGAAACAGAAAATCTTTTATTTTGAAATTACTGGATTTGCGATGTGTGTATCCGTGTGTATAGCATGTCCTGAAAGTGTTTATATGTTTAAGTTTCACTAACTTCAGAGAAATAATTGCTACAGATTTACCCCCAAGGTCATTTGAAGGTTTAATTATTTATACTTATTATATACTTGTAATGCTGTTGGTGGGAATTATGTCCTTCTGTGGGATCAGAAGAAAAGCATTTCAAGGACCCATGCATGAGAGATTGTGGTGTGGCATTGATACAGGGTGCAGCCACGGGGCGGGGGGCGGGGGCGCAAAAAAAAGATTTGGAATGGTGTCCAGAATTCAAAGTGTATAGGAATATTGGAGAGACATATAAGATGTCCTCACCCCCCCCCCAAGTATCAGTTGGGGGAAGGGACAAATAGAGCCAGGGCCATTGAGAGCTGTTTTGCATAGCAACAGTTTTGCAGCTAACCTCTGGAATGATTATTTAACATATCTATAACCTTTAACTGGTTTCATAGATATGTTAAATAGCTGTGGCCATGTTTTGAGCCAGGGAGAAGGGAGTGGCTGGTACCCACGATATAACTAGGGAGTTGCGCCCCTGAGTGAGAGCGCTGGTGTGAGAGCCTGGAAAAGATGGGCTCCAGGATATGAGGTGATAACTGCCCAGGTGAGGGGAGAGCCACTCGGTTTGGGGCAGAGTGAGGACCTCTGCAGCCATGGTAGAAGAGAGCCACGCAGTCTGAGTTAAAACCCTCTCTAGGTGAGGTGAAAGAAGGAGCCCATGTGGTTTTGGCAGAGTGCAGACCCCCTCTTTCCCAGGTGAAAGGGAAAACCACGCAGCTTTGCCAGAATGGAGATCCCTGCAGCCAGGTGAAGAAAGACACATGCTTTTGGTGGAGTGCGGACTCTTGCAGCTTTGGTAGAAGAGGCCCATGCGGCTTTGGGGTGCCCCTTTGGCTGCATAGCCTGGAAAGCAGGAGAGACTTTGACTGGAACTAACTCTTGCCAGTGGACCGTGAGAGGGTGCCACAGTACTTTGGATTAACTAGAAAGAGATCCTGCCTGCACGGTGACAGCACGGTGACACAGCTGATGGTGCCAATGGCCTGAAACGCAGACGTGTGCTCTTTTTCTGATTTACGGTACCTGGAGTTGGGACAGTGGGAGAAGGGAGAGCTGTGTGGGTGTAGGTGTACACCCTAAAGGACTTTGATATTTTAGTGGAGGCATTAGGCCTAAATAGCATTAGTAAACATTTTGTTTCCTTTTCACAAATCTCTGGCATTGAAAGATGTCTTTCCAATTGGCGGCGGGCAGAACACCCCAGTAGATACTAGTATTCTGTCCTTGGGAGGGGCCCCTGTTCTTTAGCAGTTTTTGGCATCCCTAGGTGGGCCAAGTATTGCCCCCATCCTTGGACCTCTTGTTCGGTAACAGCATGGTTTATTTGTGTGGTAGAAGCTGCCCCATGGGTTTCCGATGTCCTATCTTACCATGGAAAAAGTCCAGCTGAGTCCTCAGCAAGGCCAAGAGAAAAGCCGGTGTCCAGAGTTCCTGCTCCATATTAAAATCCAGTCCGGTCCAGCATCTAGCTAGCTTAGCATGTGTTTACAACTGCAGTCCATTTCAGGATCCCCCCATCAGTCTACGTGTGAAGCCCACATGGCCATGGAGAAAGGTCACAATATGTGGGTAGAGAGCAGGTCATTCAGACAAGAGACAGCTACTTTGTTCCCTTGGGGTTGTGTTAGCTTGAGTGTGGGACAAACCAGGTGATTTCTCAAAATGATCAATCAATTTCTCAAACTATCATGTACTTTGGGTGGGTCCGTCTCCCAACTAATCCCTTCTTTCCCCAGGCTGGACCGACAGGCCTCTCTGGTCCAGTACCTCCACTCGCACCATTTGGACTTATATTGCACGTATGCCTGCCTTCCTCTGCTCCCACTTGGTCCACTTGGTACCTGAGTGGGGAAAAGGAGGAGTGTTAATCCTCTTGGAGAAATGCTGTAATTCTCTGGAGTGTGAAGCTGCAGCTTCCTGGCTATACAAGCAAACGGACTTATTCTTCCCTGTTTATTAAACTCAATGTCTAGTTCCCTTTGATCCCCTCTTCTAGACAAACAATGAAGGTAACAATTTTGGTTTTTGTGAATAGTGAGTAGTAAATTACTCCCTCTGACCGAAGACAGTAAAGGTTAACCAAATCAATTAAAATTTGCTATTTAGCGCTCAGAAAACTGAGTATAAAGGAACATTAAGTTCTATATCTATGTTCATGTAAGAAAAACTTTCTATAGGAATGATGGACATATATGATTCTGGGTGTAAATGTCTGGGTATAAAGCAAAAATTCCAGGCAGTATTTCAGACTTTCAAGGCAGTGAAATTCATGAGCCCCAAATCAAGGTTTTCATACATTAAAGGGAGACTCATCTGGGTTATAGATGGAACAAGGAGAACATTCATTCATATATGATATAAGGTGGGTTGGAAAATAGGATGGCAGAGTAAGACAGAGGGGGGAGGAAAGCTGCTGGGCTAGTGTTGGGAGAGATGTGAACACACTCTCTTGAAAGTGTGCCCTCCCCCACCCTCAGAAACCCTTTGTGACTCCTCAATGCTCAGTGATGCAGGCCTGGCAGTAAAGTCAGGAGTCTGCACTCTCAGAGCTCAGTTGCCTCAGGCAGCTTTGCCGTTCAGAAAATGACCTTCAGCCAGTTTCTGGATAGCCTCTCAGAGCTTTATCTGAGCTTCTGCTCAGAATCTTTAGATTGTAACCGCACCCTGATTTACATCTGTGTGGTGTGGTTGCTCCTTCTCTTCTTTTATTTCCTGGTGAACATATCAATCTTCTGGGAAAATGAACCCACACAACAGGTAAAGAACCTTGGGAGAGCCCCGAAGAGATTCTTTATTGTTGTTTCCATTTCTAGTCCCACATTTGTACATGAGTTTAGTGGGGTCAGAGAGACCCTTAAGGTGGGCCATCTAATGAAAAGTTAGAACATCACTTTTCTAGAAGAGACCAGGCAGGGTTAGGGGTTCTGGGAGGACTCAGGTTAATATCTGAAGCTCACACACCACCTTGGTGTGGTGGAGGATTCCTTAGAAAATCCCCAAAAGTGATTTTCTGGCCCTGGGTTGGGTCATTTTGAGTTTGGGTTCTCTGCAAGAGATGAGTTCCCTTGCTCTTCATTGTGAGGCATATTCCCATGTCAGGCTTCGCCCATAAATGGACGAAGCTTTCCCTTGTGTTGTGCTGATCAGGAGAGCAGTGCTGAGATTCTGAGAGCCTCTCATCAGAGGCTGGAGCCTGAGCTCTGCTCCAGGTTACAGGGTCCTGTCTGAGGGAGCCGATGTGCGACTGTGGGCCTCAGATTTTATGTCTTCCTTGAGCAAAAGGAAGACATAAAATCTGTCTGAGAATTCCAAGTGTGAGGGGTCTCATAGACACAATATTACTTTGAGGTTTTTGAAGAAGAAAACATTGGGAATATCTTTGAACAATAGAAATTGATAAAAGGAAGGAATATGAAATTCTAGTCATTAAAATTGAGTTGTATTAGTCTTAGATTGTGAATGTCTGACTTTCCTAAGGAGAGAAATGACTCTTCCCTTTTTTTCAGTGTCAGTGCAGACCCAACAGAAGAGGGAAAGGTGGGAAACTGAAAGGTAAGTTTCTGCTTATTCTACTTCAGCTCCCCAAGGGTGACCCTGTTCCTCCTTTCCATGAAATCCCAGGTTCACGATCTCTGAGGCTATCAGTGGCTTGTTGCAATTCCTCTCGGGAAACAGAGCCCACTGATGAGAGGCTTGTCATCTGACTGATGACAGTCAGAACCCGAGACTCTTCTCAGATTCCCTGCTCTGCCATCTCTGGGTATGAAGCAGTGATTGATCCGGGCAGGGGGTGTTGCCCAGTAGATGTCAAGACTCAGAACTTGTATTTCCTGACTTTGAGAAAGTTCTTTGACTTCAGGATGATCAGATTCCTCTTTGACGTAACTACTGACCTCTCTGCCTCACAGAGTGTTTTTTTAGCATCAAATGAGATAATGTTAGTGAAAGTAGTTTAGAAATGAAGCTACGCACACAAGGAAACCATTTTAATATTATGGCTAACCATTCGACACCATCTACTGAGTCTTGGGACTTTCCAAGTTTAATATCTTAATGGTCTCCCATAACGAGACTCCTCTATAACACCTGGGCTTCTACCTTCATCCAATAAAACCCACTGTCCTGGCTTTCCAGGTTGGCGATACCACCAAAGGGAAGAAGAGGAAAAAAGGGTGCTGATTTCGATGTTTAAAAGGTGACTTGTGTTTTCCTCTATTTTTCTGATTCTCTTTAGCATGTTCTATGCAATTTCAGGGATTCAGTGCAGCCTTCCATAGCCATGGGAGTGGGTTGCCATAGGAATGGGGATGTGAATGAAGGCCTTGGGGTGAGTGGTATTGAGTGCATTGTGAAGTCATGGATGTGGGGTAATGTGAAGGGGCAGCAGGCTTCAGGTGGCCCCATCCTCATAGGCAAGTAGGTCCTCTTTTCCTTGTTCTGGTCCTGGCTACAGCTTTGTACCTCTTGTCTCCTGCAGCCCCCTTGGCCAGCGTCATGATTCCACCCGCTTCCGTCAGCTGTTGTGTCCAGATCCCTCCTGTGAGGTGTGCAATAATGCAACCACTGAGATGGATCAGCTGCTGCTCTCAATGGCCCTCGAAGATTCTACTCCTTCTGGATCTCCTCTGCCTTCCTCCGGTCCTGTGACTAAGCCATTGTTCACTGAGGCCCCTGCCTTTCCAGCAGTCCCTCCAGGACGTCTAATACCACTTCTTCTGCCTGAGGCTTTCCCACCACGGCCCTCCATTCTCTGCCTTAATCCAAGGACTCCCTTCCATAATCTTTCAGTGCCATCACCACTGGTTCACTCTCTGCCACCAGAGCCTTTTCCTCCTTTGGCATCCAAATTTCTAGTGGACCATTCTCCACCCAAACCCCTTGACCTTCTCTCTCTGCCATCACGTAATAGTCTTAGTGCAGGTGCTGCTGTCCAATCAGAAGACACTCTGACCCTGAATACCATCTTTCTTGACTCTTCTATGACCCAAGATACCAACCCCTTGCTTCAATCCCTGCCCCAGTCTCAGCCTCTATCTCTCACTCAGATCAAACCCCAGGCTCACCTTCAGTCCCCATGCCCAGTCCTATCATCCAGCCCCATACGTCAGATTAAGGGCTATGGAATGTATTTCCATAGATTCCGGAATGAATCGGACTATCTCAACTCATCTCACATTCAACACCTTGAAAGAAATGTGTTGCGGAAGCATCAGGAAAGTCTGTCGGGTTTACCCCCTATGGTCCAAAAATCTCAGAAGAATATTGTTATTTAACTGCCAACAATCCTTACTGCCAGTCATCTCGAGCCTGTGTTTACTTTCCATCTTTCCTGTAAAATTTCTCCTTAGCAATGAACTTTGGGAGAAACTAGAACACCTTAAAGAGAGGCTCATCCAACACCAATGGGGCCTGCCCCAGAGGATCCATGAGTCTTTGTCACTGCTGAGTCCTCTAGCCATTTCTTCGGTATATCTGAATAATAGAGAAATTAGCATCTCCTCTCCTGCATCTCTGTGTATAAGGGTCAGAGTAGCGAAAATCTAAATACTGGATTGAGCCAACCAGGAAGCTTCTCTAGGAGGAGCTCAGAAATGCTTCAGCTAGAGGAGGAGGAGGAGGGGAAGGATGAAAAACACAGCTTAGAGAATGATCCAAAAGATTATCTGTTGAATGACTTAGAGAGTGCTTCAGAGAAGGATGTGGTACATGACTCTGAGAAATACCTAGACAGTTACATGAGTCTGTCAGGAGAAAATTCAATGATGTTAGGGCAGAGTATAAATCAGACATGAATGGAGAGTGTCCTGAAAATGCATTTGAGCAAGAAGTTTGAGGGAATCAGTGAGAATCAACTCCCTGGGACTGTGCATGGTAACATGCTATCAGTCAGGCACTTTTTGTGGAATCCCCCCTGAAATAAAACAGAAGAGTTAGCCACCATCAGCGGTGGGAACAACTGCCCTAATACTTCCCAGGAGCACAGAGTGCTGGATCCAGCGCACAGCAGTTGCTGGAAGCCCATATTACCAAGTTTCCTATGAGGATGTTGTGCAACTTCTCTCAATGTTCCTTCAATCCATAGAGATCTCTAATTTGAAAGATACTTTATCTCACTTTCAACCTACATGTTTTCTGAGATAGGTTCCAAATCTGGTGGCTTCATGCTTCTTAGAAGCTTTAAAATTCTTAAAAAAGACAAAGAGGGTATAGCAACTTCAGCCGCCATCCTGAATTATCCTCTTCATGCCACATCTCTTGTGGGCAAGGAAGAACAAAGGACCCTAAGACCATCACCCTCTAATATCCACTACGGGCTTGCAGAGGAGGTTTAGAGAATTGGGGATGCTACACAGATGCTTCCGCCTGTCACAAACAGCATCATTGGCAAAGCAAGTCAGAGACATTCTCCAATAGCCAACATTTACCCCCATGCAAGGCTAGCCAGGACTGAACATCAACCAACAGATCAGTATGTGAATTCCAAGAATATACTAAAAATGGGAACAGACAGAGAAAATGGAGAAGAAATCAGAACCTGTTTCTAAGCCCAGTGTGTTCAAGGCTAAGAGCTTGATGCTCTTCAATCTAAAACTAGTGAATGAGAGTAAAGTAGCAAGTCCTTTCTACTTTAAGTAGAAACTTAAAGTAAAAACTCTAACCACAGAAAGTCCCCAGAAAAGATATCAGTTGTCCAAGATCCTAAATTATGAGACCTTAGAGAAGAATTTAATTGCTGAGTCAAGCTCTAAATAGAACAGGAAGCATAGCCAGGCCCAAGGCCAACCCACTGGCATGTCACATGACTCAGCTTGATTCCAAAGCTTCATGCTCAAGGTGTCTCCAGTGTGGACATGGGAGTGTCCCAGATGCTGCATGTCCATCTGGAGGACAGAGGAGTCAGTATGGAGCAGTGGCAGGAGCCTTGGCTTCCTAAGTATGTCTTAAGCTTGTGCCAGGGTAACAAGTTCCCACCACTGCAAGAATAGTGAGCCCCACAGGATCCAAATCAGAGGAGCTTGGTGGAGGGGATGCAGGGTTGGGAACATCCCAAAGTAGAAGGGGTTTCCTACTCTGGATGAGGACACACTTAGGAGCAAGTCTCCCCAGACTCTGTCCTAGAAGAGATAGTTTTCTTCTAAAATCCTTTTCAGAAATAAAATTAGGTGCTTTTTTCAATACCTTTGTCCTGGTATAAAATGCAAAAAGCGAGCAAACTCCTAGGAAAAGGGCAGCCCTATTTCATCTGCACAGAGCAGAGGCCCAGTTAAAAGTAGAGCTGCCTTTACTAGAACGATGGAAGCTCAGAAACTCATGACAGACATTGGGAAGTTTCCAGAGGAGAGATGGGTTTCAGCAGGTAATAGACACCATCTGCTCTCCAGACACCTACTCCTCCTGCTCCCTGGTCAGTAAAGTTTGGGAAAGCTCAGCAGAAGGCAGCAGTGTGGGCCTGGGTGGAGTCTGTCCTGGGGCATCCTTTCAACTCCAGGGTTCCCTCCAATAATGTCACAAATACAAAGTTCTGCTGCCTAGCAGCTGTCTTAGCGGGACAGAGTTCTGCAAACAGTAGAGAAGTCAGAGACAAGGACAGACACCACCAGAAATTTGTGGCCATAAGGCACCAGCTATTAAGTCAGAAGCACCCCGATCTGTGCCCCACAGGGCAACTGTGCCCCATCCAAACCCCACCTGCGGGCCTCAACCTGCCCAGGGGCCTCCTGCTGCTCTAGCACTGCCAAAGGTCCTGTGTTCAGAGATCAGTCTCTATTCAGACAGAAAACCTTACTCCAGAATTTTCTGGGGAAAAAAATTTCCGACACCAAAATAATTCCTTCCCTGTAGGCAATGTTGATTCACTTTAATAATAAATGTTTCCCTAATAACAGTAATGTCTTTTCTGTGTACTGTGTTGGGGGATGGATTCAGGGTATCTCATGACTTGTGCTTTAAAAAAAAGTCAGTGTAGCACCGATTGCTTTCTTTCACTTCCAAAAGTGACCAGTCCCCCTGGAATTCCTGTTGAAAAATAGATATGCTTCCCTCCCCAAAAGCCCATTTCCTCCCTGAAGAAGTTTGAGGACATGGGTTGTCACTTACCTCTTAGGTTAGCATTAATAAACATGTATAGCAGCCCACACCTTTCCCCTCAGAGAATGCTCTCCACTTGTACACACTGAGACAAAAAATGGGGTGACTGTCTTAGAGAGAGCACTTGAGGTAGTTTTTGCAGTAAAGCTTGTGAATATTGGGTGCAAATTAAAAAAAAATGTCCACCACAGCCAACTCTCACTACCACACTTGTATTTTCTTGTCCAGAGTTATGTCATCGACTCTGCAATGTCTGAAGATTGGGGTCACAAAAATGCAGAGTTTGTGGAAGCACTGGGAAGGATAATAGGTGGGAAGAGGCCCAGGGCAGGGAACTTGAGGAGGCGAGCAGGCAATGGAGGGCTATAACATCCATGTAGATTGAGCTGCCAATAACCCAGCCTCCCAATTCCCACATCATCTCATATTGGGTCCTTTATGTCCACTCCAGAGCAGTTACTGCCCCACTGTTGAGCTTATTGCCAAGAACACCTCTGCTATCTGGAACATTATGGTCTGACCTTCTACCCTGTGACCTTAAATGTCTATCCTTACAGTTTATAAGCCCCTAGTGAATTTTCCAACCCCATATCATTTTTCCACTTACTCCTTGTCAATCTGCAACCTCTTTCTTCCTCCTTCACCAACATAAGCTAGATGGTCTTACTGGGCAAACAACACTTAAGAAGCTGCAATACAAATCAACCCCTTCAAATTCCCTTTAATCCTGTCTGTCTGACAAAAATTCAACTTTTTGTTTTTCCAGAAGTGCCTTCCTATTAATAACTGATCAGTATTGGATTCCACCTCACAATGAGTCAACTGGTGTCCCAGAGCTACCTGGAAATCATTCTTTCACTCCACAAACAATTATCCCGTGCTTACCAAAGTGGACAAAACAAATGGAGCTTAGGTTCCTGTTTCTTCAGTCCATTCTCTCTCCAGAGCTACTCAAATCTATTTCAAATCTCACTTGCCACAGACTGAGTCCATTGTCACTTACTCAGATGATTGGACCACTGTTCTCAGAGGACCTAGAAGCCTTGAGATGGGAACTTTTCAACAAAACACTCTAACAAAACACTTTCACATTCTTTCTTTCCCCTTTCCTTCATGGTATATGGAAAGTAGTTTCCTTCCCAACCTCAGAGGAATGACACTTCCTGAAATCACCTTACTGAGGGATAGCTAAATTCTTGACTTGATGAACTGATACATCCCTGCCAGGTATCCTCCCTCTGCCCCTATGAGGTACCAAATATATTTTATTTTTTAAAACATTATTACAAAAATACATAAACATACACCAGCACAGATAGAATAATATGTCTCCCCAGTTACCTTCACCCACTTTCATAGTCATTATTTGGCATATGTTTGACAATCCATTTTTTACATTAGGAGTAAATTGCAAAAGGCCCGTTGAAACATCTTGCCATCCATCTCACAGACATATGCTATGTGCCCAGGTCAAAGCTCCCAGATTACTTTGATATTTATCATGTGTAGAACACATATCCACCACAGATGTAAACAACTTTGGTGATGAAAAAGCATTGAGCTTTAAAGGCTTTGGCAACCAGTTCTGCTCTGCCTTTTAGTCAACCCTGAGGAGTCCTTTGAGTGAATTCTTCTCTCAACTCCATTCAAGAAGTAATCTTACAGAGCAATTCCAGTGCACAATATTGCTGTTTCTTAATCACACAGTAATTATACTAATATTCTAATGATAGAGAAGTAGAAAAGTATGTAATAGGCATTGCTATATGTGGTTTTAAATATTTAGAAAGTGTTTTTTCCTGTCACACATGAAGATGACTATAGGAGACCATTCTGCATAGTGTGTGCCCACCTCCCACTCAGAAAGGCCAGTGGAAAGCAAGGTCCAATGCACAGGATTCACGTCTATGGATAGGTTCTCCCGTGGGGAATCAGGCCTGCATTGTACCTAGATTGCTCCTGACACTTGCTTTTGCTAAAACTCCCTCACCCTGAATTGAAGCAAAGGTGCTTACAGTAACTTCCTAAATTCTGTGATAAACTTCCCCAGTATGGAGTGTAACTGATTCAAACACTTTTGCTCTTGGTCTGCAATATCTTTCTCTTTGAAGTAATTAGCATCATTCTTTCCTTTGTTTTCTGTAAACAAAGGTTTACCTAAACCTTGCTGTAAAAGGTTTACCTAAAATGAACCTGTGCATAGTAAATGAGAACTGTCCTCAATGTAATGTGCCCAGAAAAGCAATAAAAGCTTGTCAAGGCAAGGGTCAGTGCACTCTCCTTTTGAGAGAGTGGCAGTGCCATCCCTTTTCCTCCACAGGACTCGGTACTCTGTGTGAATTTGTCTCATCTCATCCATAACATCTCAGACCCCATGAGTCGGGGTCCACATCAGATGACAAACTCAGTGAAAGAGGTATACTTGTTGATCATTTTTTCTTCCCAAAATGCCATTAAAAGTAAAAGATTACCATCAATGAAAAGATGCCCATCATCATTAGCCATCAGAAGAATGCATTTAAAAACACTATGAGATAGCACCACACACACATAAAAGTAGCTAGAATTAAGAAGTCAGATGAGTGTCATGGAGAATTAAAGAATATGGAACCCTCATACACTGCTGCTGAGGATGAAAAATGGTGCAGCCACTTTGGAAAGCAGTATGGTACTTCCTCTAAGTGTTAAACATAGGGTTACCATATGACCCAGCAATACCACCTGTAAGTATATACTCAAGATATATGAAAACGCATGTTCATGGAAAAACTTATAAAGATTTCTGATTTTATTTATGGAGATCCTCTGTCTCTTTTCTTTATGAATTTAGTTAACGCTTTATCTTGTTTCCTTTGTATTGTTTTCTTGGGTTCTATTTTGTTTATTTCCTCTCTGCTCTTTATTGTTTCCTTCCTTCTGTTCATTTTCTAGTTCCTTTAGGTGTTAAGGTTAGATTGACTGTTTGAGATTTTTCTTGTTTCTTAAGGCAGGCCTGTATTGCATTGAATTTCCCTCTTAAGATTGCTTTCACCGTGACCCATCGATTTGGAATCAATTGCAATTTTCATTTGTCTCCAGGTCTCTTTAGATTTCTTTCTTGATCTCATTGTTAACCCTCTCTTTCTTTTAGTGTGTTATTTAGCCTCCATGTGTGTTTTCTTTTATTTTCCTTGTAATTTCTAGTTTCCTACTATTGCGGTCAAAGAAGATGATTGGTATATCAACTTCTTAAATTTGAGGCTTTTTTTGTGGTCTATCCTAGAAAATGTTCTATGTGTACTTGCAAAGAATATATTTTGTACTGCTTTGGGTGAAATGCTCTAAAAATATCAATTAAATCCATCTAATGGGTCAGTTAAGGTTGCTGTTTCCTTGTTGATTTTCCATCTGGAAGATATATGCACTGATGTCAGTGAGGTGTGAAAGGCCCCTACTATGACTGCTTTACTCTTGACTTCTCTTTTTATATCTGTCAATGTTGTTTCATATATGTAGGTGCTCCTACATTGGGTGCTTGCACGTTAAATGAGGCTTAAATCCTCTATTTGGATCAATGCCCTTAAAATTATGAAATGTCCTTGTTTGTCTCTCATAATAACCTTTGTTTTAAAGTCTCTTTTGTCTGACATAAGTATTGCTATTCTTGCTCTTTTTTGTTTCCATTTGGGTGAAATATCTTTTTCCATCCCCTTTTTTAAAGTCTGTGTGCATCATTTGATTTGAAGTGGATCTCTTGCAGACAGTATATGTATGGATCTTATTTTCTTATCATTTTCTTAAAATGATTATTGAAAGGTCTGTAGTTATTGCCTTTTTATTATTCATGTTTATGTTTTTCCTTTGGTTGTTGTTAAAGATGTCCCTTTAACATTTTTTGTAATACTAGTTTGGAGGTAATGAACTCTTTAGCTTTTACTTGTCTAGGAAGCTCTTTATCTCTCTTTTGATTTGTAATAGTATTCTTACTGAAAAGATTAGTCTTGGTTGCAGGTCTTTGCTCTTCATAATTGAATATTTCATGCCAGTCCCTTCTGATGCAAGAGTCCAGATGGGTAGTAGACTTCTGAGGGGATCACTTTACAAATTAGATGACTGTCTAACCATTGTACGGTATACTTGAAACTATTGTAAAATAATATTGAATGTCAATTGTAATTGAAAAATAAACAAACATTTATAGCAGTATCACTCATAGTAGTCAAAAGATGGAAAAAACCCAAATGTCCAGAAACAGATCAAATAGGTAAGTAAAACATGATATAACCATGCAGTATAATATTGTTGGCAATTGAAAAATACAAATACATGCTACAACATGGATGATCCTTAAAAACATTAAGGTGAATGAAGCCAGGTGAATGAAGCCAGTCATAAATACCCACATATGATTCCATCCCTATGAAACATTCATTTAGGCAACGTGCGAAGTCCAAGTAGATTCGTGATTACTTAGGGCCATAGGGAGGGGATAGGAGAGAGGTGGTCGCTAAAGGTCACAATGTTTCTATTTGAAGTCGTGACAATATTTTGAAGTTGAATGTGGTGATGCACATATTTGTGAATATAATAAAAATTGTGGAACTTAAACTATACATTATAAATGGTTGAACTGTATGTGAACTATCGTTTCAATAAAGTTGTTAAAAAATTAAGAGTTTAAAAAGAATATGTGCTTAAGAAAGGTAAGAAGGGAAGAAGATAGGACAAAAGATGTGAACACATTT